ACTTCTACCTCACTCGGCGCCTCTATCCCCGTCTCTTTCTGCCTTTTTTTATTGTAATATATTATATATATATAATATAAGACTTGTTTTTCTTCTAATCTTCCAAAACTGTGACGACGACTGCTCTGTAGGCGGGTTCCTCCTATTCATAACAAAGTTAGTTTGGTAAAGACCAGACACATACTTGGTTTAGATCAGATATATACAATGTACTTCTTCATTGTCTTGTTGTTGTTGTTGTTGTTGTTGTTGTTACTGTTGTTGTTGTGATCGTTTTTGCTGCTGCAGTTTCTGTTATGCATGATTTTAAAGCCATATTAGACACAAACAGTTCAGTCTGAAGGAAGGGCCCCCATGAGACCTCCGGGGGGGGGGGGGGGGGGGTGATGTTTAGCGATAAACCAGATCCTCAATACGAAAATCAGTTGTTTGTTTGGTGGGATGGTTGGGTTTTGTTAGTTAGTTAGTTAGCTGGCTGGCTGGTTGGTTGGTTGGTTGATTGGTTGGTTGGTTGGTAGGTTGGTTAGGTAGGTAGGTAGGTAGGTAGGTAGGTAGGTAGGTAGGTAGGTAGGTAGGTAGGTAGGTAGGTAGGTTGGTTAGTAGTTAGTTAGTTTAGTTAGTTAGTTAGTTTCTTGGTTTGTTTGTCTGTTTGTTTGTTTGTTTGTTTGTTTCTTTATTTGTATGGGTAAAGAAAAGCACATCGACCCACCACAACAATGTTTATTTAGTGCTTGGAAAAAGTAAGACAGACAGACAGAAACAACAGAGGGAAAGTAAAGAAGTAGGACCTACCAGTGGCGCCTTCCAACCACTCGCAGAGACAGCTGGACAAAGCACACAAATTATGTAGGAAAAAAACAACCAAAACGAATAATGCAACGTTCACTGGGCATTCGATATGTTATATCGATTTGGCATTTTCCAACAATTGTTTTCTTCTTTAATTTTCACCTCTTTCTCTTAAAATCCGTTACAGAATATAAAGACTGAAAGCACTCAAGTCATTTTTAAAATGTTTTTGAGGTACATGTAATGGTTAGTAACGCGACATCCCCGAATGGGCTATTCCACGGTAACTGACGGGACTTTTTTTACCACACTTTCTTACAATGATAACACAGTAATTCATTATCAATTAATTTGTTTCATCTTTAAATGATCAGAAAATTTGAAGGACATCGTATATATTAAAATCATGTTAAATGCAGTCATTTTGAAAAAAAGTAGAGCACATTCTGTTACGTGTTTACTTTCGGTATCTGTCGGGACAGGAAAAAAATACCTCATTTGTCCCGTTAATTACCGAAACTGAACACGTCACACAGTTAGCATAGAGTATATTTTTTTCAAATGGCTGCATTTAATATGATTTTTAATTTGTCTTTCAAATGTTCTGATCATTTAAAGCTAAAATAAATAAATTGATATTGAGCTATAGAGACAAAATGTCCCGTCAGTTACCGTGGAATAGTCCAATTAATAATATGAAGACACAAAAAGTCTTCAATCTGAGCCATCTTAACAACATTGGTGGCTGAGGAAAACAGTGCACAATGGGCCCTGAAATATACCTATGCATGATTGTATGTGCATCATGTATAATGTTATTTATTGGGATCAAGTAACAACAAACAGGGAAATCTCTGCGCTCTTAGAACATTAGAAAAAAACAACAGTAAACACGGGAATGTTTGTGCTCTCAGGACATCTGTCCAGAGAGCCCGCATGTTAAGGCAATCCTATGCTATCCTGCCAAACATAACACATCACTAAAAGAGGCACAGATAAAACTCTGGAATAGTACAAAAGTAGTTCATTCGATTTTTTCTGTTGTTCGCACTGTTGGTTGATACCACACACACACACACACACACACACACA